TCAAATCCATCCGGCCAAATCAGCGAGGCAGTGCGCAAAGTGAGGAAGCAAGTTCACTTGTAACACAAAAACTGATCGTTTTCGCCAAGAACGCAGAACCGGGCTGCAAAGTCTTGCCTCACAAATGTCGACGTCGCTAACGAAGCTATTAGATGCCAAGGAGAAGGTAGGACGTCTCAGCCATCGTCTCGTGAGGTTATAGCTAACCGTTTGATAGCATGCAAAAGACCTCAAAAGTCATCGCGCGCAACTTGATGAGCACAAGAAACATACGAGTGAGCTACAGCATGAGATCAAGAAGGTATGAATTCGGTACTCATGTCAAGCCAAGCATTCGCTAATGGGGCGCAGTTACAAAGCAGTGTTGGAAACAACCAAAACAAGGACCCGCAAGATATTCCTGGCATGCAAGCACATCTGGAAACGGTATTAACATCTCCAGCTTCTCATTTCATTACTGACCTCACATGTACAGCTCCAAAATCAAGATGCCAAGAAATCCGACCTCATCCTCTTCGCCATCGCCTACTTCGCGATCCTTCGGCGAGATGCCAATACTTTTGACGAATGCTGGAAGATCGGCATAGATAGAAGGCCTGCCACAGCCTTCAAGACTGTGTTGTCACTGTACAAGGACGCCGGTGGCTTCATGCGCATGCGCAACGAATTCCACAACTACACGTGGCCAAAAATGATGTCGAGCTGGTCGAAGCACGGGGAAGAATTGCAAAAGCTGGAATCTGTGGTGCGGGAACTAGTTTGGGGTAAACTGATCTGAGGGATGAGAAGAAGACCAAACCGTTGGCGCAGAAAGCATCTCTGCGAAAGACGAGATATCACGGCTGGGAAACAGAAAGTTTATACACAGATAATTGGATGCTAGTAGCCTCACATGCGGAAACAGTCGTTTCTCGGCACTATTTTGTTCAATCAAAAGTCCTCGTGCCCTTCAGATCCTCCCAAGACGTACCTCTCAAGCCCACCTCGGCATCATCTCCACAACCTCCTCCCTCTCCCCTTCTCTCTCACCTCCTTCAATCCTACCCCCCTTCCTCACCACCACACTCGCCTCGCCCTCCAGCCTGCCAATCGCACTCTCACTTTTCAACATCTCCCTAAACTTTGCCGTCTTCGACCTCTTCGCGGGTTGAACGAGATTATGAGCTGGAGTGTTGCGCATCATGGTGTTAATGCAGTCGTATTGTTTCAGCCAGTCTGTGCCGCGTGGTGGGGCGGGTTTGCGCTTGATTGATGGAGCGGGATGGAGAAGGGGGATGCAAGAAGGTGGGGCTGGCGATAATGAAGGTATTGAAGGTAGGCCATGTGAGGATTGGGTGGGTTCTGGGCTGCTGAGGTATGATGTTGGTATTCGTGGAGGCGACGGCGACGTTGATATTAGTTCGTTGTGTTTGGACTTGCTCGTATGCCGTTGAGTAAGGTCCGGATGATGAAGCGAAGACACTGGGAGTTCGTCATAGCTTTCTTCATACCTCGCGTGATGGTAAGCCGATTGCAATGGAGGTATGTTTTCATCCTTAGACGTTAGTGGTGAGGACTCTGCCGAATGCCTTGGTGAGCTCTCGTCTGATGATGATGATAGTGACTGGGCAGATGACGTGGAGCCTGAGGGCGCGCTTTTGAGGCGCTCCAGACACTCTAAGACCAGCTCACGGATCGGGATGGTGTTCATAGGAGACGACAGGTCCAAGGGCAGTGCCGATGACGGTGTATCGTGGGTTAGACGTGCGAGGCATTCGAGAACAAGTTGCTGGGTACCGAAAGGCTCAGTATGTGACCGAAGACTTGAACTTTGTGGAGAAGGTACTGATGGCAATTCTACAGTCACCCCACGCTCAGAAAATAATACCAAGGATGGCGAAGATGGCGTAGATGGCGATGAGCCTGCTCTAAGGGGAGGTATGGCTGGAAGAGGCTTTTTCGAGCGCCAAGCTGGTGTGCAGGGCCGCGGTCTCAAGCCATGAACTTTCCTGGACCATTCGGCTGAGCTGAAGTAAAGCTCTTTGCTCATCCTTGGGCTTACACACTTCCAAGTGTCTGCTTCCTCTATTGAGCTTATCGAGGGACAATGTGAGTCGGCCGCAGTTTGTGTCCCAACACTGGAGTCGGTATGGCAGGCATTCTTGGTGCTTAGCGCGTTTGCAGTCGGCATGCATGCATACTTAGCGTCAGTCTTGTAGCATTGCTCATCTCCGTGCACATGATATTCACATCCTGCCGTACCGATCGCGGGTGCATCTACAGAGCCTCTGATCATGCCTAGCATTCTCCGTTCGACTGCGAACATTCTGTCAACTACGAAGCGTTGCAGGACAGGCGTTGCCCCTTTCTCCAGGAAGACGACCTCCAGCACCTTAAGGTCTGGCGTTTGGGACGCGTCAAGCGAGCTTGTCATGATGTCGACGATATAATCCTGGAAGCTTGGCTCGTCGAATTGCGCTCCAACGATGTGTGCAAATATCAAGTCGAAGCAGTCGCGCAACAAAAGTCCGCTGCCTGCAGCCTTAGACGCGTTTGCATTGAACTCGATATGGCCATTACGTAACCACTCAATGTAGAATCTGAATCCCATGCAGTCGATCCTGTGTAGAGCGATCTGCCATGCCTTTGGCTTCTGCGAGGCGTGCTGTTCGATAAGGTTGCAAAGGTAGCGTGATCGTTTAGCAATCGAATTAAGTACCACGACCGACTCCGCCGGGAGATTCTCTGACAACGTTCGGCGTCCTGGGAGAACAAATGCTACTGTCTGCGGCACGTCGAAATTCGACGATATGATGTTCTGGCGCTGCAAATGCATCGTGCTTGTCGGTTTTGGGGATACGCAGGATTCGGCAAAGTGGCCGAAAGTGTTTGCAAATCCTTGCGCGTGAGAGAAGCACGTTTGCTGTGGTATGTGTCGTGTGTGAGATCCTCATCAATCCGATTGCGTTGTTGGTGTGGATGTGACTAATCGGTAGGTTGTCACATACGGAGCACTGAGTCGTTGTCCGCAAATGTGCGCCAACCTTCACTGTAGCATCATCAAATCAACATTTCTTCATCTTATGGAAATTCGTACCTTGCAACCTCTTGACACATCTCGATAGCGGATTCTTTTCATGATTCACGATGCCATTTCGTTTTTCCAAGTCCAGCACGTCGTCCTCGCCCAAGGGCAATACCATCAAGAAGTCAGAAATTGTCGATGGCCGGCGAACTCGTAAAGACACTCGCAGCGATCGAGACCATAAAGAGGGCATTGTGGATCCTGTGACGGTTGACGAATGGCTAAAGGATGAGGCGAATGCCGACGATGAAAAGCCACTGGGAGTATTGCGTAACGCGAACTTCTCGAACGGGGCGATCATGGCAGATGGGGAGCATGCTTGCACCAAATCGCTCGAGGCGAAAATTGAAGACACCAGCAAAGAGTCTGTGGAGAGCTCGGTCGACGTAACGTTACCAAGCGCAACCAGCGAAACACAATCACCATCAGCACCCCCAACGCTGAACATACTTGTCGGCACACATAACCCATCTTCTCGATATTTCACGAGGCAATACCTCCGTGTGCATACGCGTCCGAATATCATTGTTAATGGATCCTCCGCCGCTTCGTCCGAATCGACTCACAATGCCTTGATATCGCTGCCAAACTTTGATCCTCTCGCGCTCGACCTGTTCCAAACTTGGTTCAACACTGGTGTCATACCGTGGCGCTCATCAGAAACGTGTCGCTCGTCTCAGAGGCCGGACGAATAGTACATATGGCAGGCCTGCTGGCCGCTTATGAATGCACAAATGCTGGACTGTGCCATCAACGATGCGGAATCTTCTGATCGTGTCATGGACATGTTGCAAGAAATGATAGGCAAGGGTGTTTGCGCAGAGGTGGACACCGTGAATCACATTTTCTCCTCAGATCATCCTCAAGTACCTGAGGTGCTTCCGCGCTTTATAGTTGATAGATGCATCGGTGCAGCTCAGCCAGGCGCTTTGCAAAATCTGCAGCTGGAGAAGGCGCCGCATTCATTTCTCGGGATCATGTTGCAGACGACGCTTAGTGGGGTGTCCTCGTCTCAACCTCCACCTCAAGAATCTGAATGCAACTACCACATGCATCAAACGCCCGAGGCTTGCTATAAGAAGCATTCTTATTCAGCAGATGACAAGAGGCAACAAAGCCTAAAATTGGAACGTGATAGGACGCGCAAGGACTCGGAAGAGGTCGTCAAAGAGGCAGAAGCAAATGGCGTCAAGACAGTCGACTGGGAGGCTCGACGCGCCAAGGCCAAAGGGCTTCTCAGGGAGCAAACAGGGAAATCGTGGGTTGGCTTTAGCAGACTAGGCGGCAGCTCAACCAGCAACAATGCAACGAATGCTGGAAGAGTTGAAAATTCTGATGCCCAAGAGTTAGCAGATGACGCGGTCCAGGGGAAGGTTTGTTCTAGAGGTAACGCTGAGGCCGGCACGTCGATTGAACCGCTCTTTGACACCACCCAGACAGCTGGCGCAGTCGATGATCTTGGTAAGCCACCAAGTCGTGAAGCGCCGGTGGCGCCTGTCTCGGGGCTTGCAGCAACCACGAACCGTGAGTCACAGAAGAGTGACGGAGGGAGAGCTCGAAGTGGTGCTTGTACGACTGCGCTGGAATTGGTCGGAGACTTGGATACGCCTTGCTCAGCAAAGGGCAGAGTTTCGCCAACTCCAAGCCACTACGATTCCGGGTCAAAGACAGACTCTGAGCTGCAACAGAACTTGGAAATGGCGCTGCAATATCAGAGGCTGTCGGAGTGTCCTGGCGCTTTCCCCTTGTCGAGAAATGGCAGCACGAAGAGTAAAATCGATTGAGCGAGGACACAACAAAGCTGTGCGTGGCGTGGAGTTGGGGTCCACAGAGTCTGGTCTAGATCTTGCTTTTGAGATTTTCAAATGAACCAGAATCTTCAGCGGTGCCATCAACCCTGACATTCTAGGCGTCATATGACTAGAAGCAAAAAAGATGCCCTGAGCCAGGATCGAACTGGCGATCTTCGCATACCGTTGGTGATACGAGTGCGACGCCTTACCACTAGGCCATCCGGGCAATGCCGGGTAAACGCTGACTTGGAAACATTTTTACTAATAAAGGCGGTTACGGGACATCCGGCACAGGGTCATCGCTTGACTCAAACCGTTACTGTACTCTTCACTAAGGCATCCGTCCATGCAGCGTCCTTCAAGATATCTCGTACTCTTGCTTCGAGCCACTCCGTATTGCCCCAAAAACCCCAGCTTGCTTGAAAACGAAGCCAGTCCACGAGAGCAACTTCCCAATGCCACAAGAACGTGTCCCAGTCGTAGTCTCGGTCGCTAGAAGCTTTCAGTCTGCTCCAGTATCGCTTCAACAGCTTCTTCTCGCCTTCCTGCAAAGGCAACGCGTGTGGCACGTACTCATCCTCCACAAGCATACTCATAGGCACAGAGCACGTGAATAGCTTTGCAAGATCGCAAACTCCCAGACCAAGGCCAGTATATTGAAAGTCATAAAAAGCCACCATTTCACCGGATGTGCTTGTGAAGAGATTCTCGGATTTGACATCGCCATGAATCAGCGTCTCGTATTGACTGATTGGTGATGAGCCTGATATCTCAGGTGCTAAGAACGCGGCGACCATTTCTGCAACCGAGAGGTTTTCAGCTCCTATGGGTTTTGCCAAGGCCGCGGTCCACTCTGAATCTTCGTCGGCAGCCAAATCTGCATACTCCTTTCGTCTGGTTTCAAGATACGTATAGCCGCCATTGAGCCAGACAGTCTTCTCAGCAGCATCTTCGCCATCATTCTGCACTTCCTCGAGGGGCGGGCGAACGAAGGAGGAGCGGTTCCATTCCTTCACACGCGGCCACCAAACGCCATGAAACGCCGAGAGCCAGTCTAGTGTAGAGTCGACTTGAATCGGCGACAAGATGTTACGCTTCTCCCCAGTAATAGGATATTGCTGTTTTAGATCGCTGAGAATCATTGCCGTCGTCGAAGTGCCATTGGCATGATGCTGATTGATGCTACCCAGGCACTTTGCTACTGGAATCGAGGATGGCAACTGATGAGCCAGGTGACTATAAAAGTACTGCTCCACCTGATAGCTGAGTATCTTCCGGGTATGACCCTCATCGTTTGCCTTGGTCGGCGGTGGAGTAATGAGCTTCAGGACAAAAGACTGCCGTTCTTGTGGAGTCGCGACATTCGAGTTCTCTGCGGACACCGAACGGGACGATTCGGTTGAGTTGTCTGGCGAGGAATTTGGTGTAGCAGTAAGGAGGCAGATCTGACCATAGCCAGCCCACAAGGATTGTATCTCTTTAAGGGATTGCAACCGCAGACCCTTTTCCGCAAGCAAGGCCGAAGCAACTTCTTGAGGTGACGATGAAGCAGACATGGCATCTGGTGTCGCCGACCAAGATCGTAACAGGCGGCGAATCAATAGCGCTGAGAAGAGGAGTAGAAAAATCCGAAACACGCGTCGCAGTGGAGCAAACATGCAGACCTCAATGTGTTTACCGCGGGAAGCCGGCAGAACACTGCAACTGGCACCAGAGGCTGCTCAAAGTTCGGCCTGACAAGCGAAGGCCATATAGAGGTGGGAATGTTTTGGCACGGTAATTGTGGCTAGCCGAGATCTTGCCGCGTCGAATGCACGGCCCAGTTGCTGACGTAACGCGTGTCTGATAAGTTAACGTTAAGTTACCATCTGCGGATCGGAAATCTTTCTCTTCATGGTTCCTTGACAATGCAAGAAGTTTGCCGAGTCGTCAAACAAGCTCGGACTTCACGCTGATCCGACCAGCTTTAGGCCCCGTGATGCGTACAGAAGACATAACTCAGGGGGTACTGCCAAGCTGTCTACAAGTCTGAATCTCGTTCGAGCGTCTTCAGCTTCGTCCACTGCCTAAGATTCTGGCATAATGGTCCAAGCTGATCTTTAGAGCGGTATCGAACTCTGGCTCCAAGCATCACATCTTTGATGGAATCTGCTGATTGTGGCTGTTACATAAAGCACCCATTATAGACCGAGTGCGGTTCTGACCTTTTCATCTCTGCACCAAATGCGCGGACAAACACTTCATGGGCCATGAAATCCTTCTTTCCCTGTCCTGATGCATGGAAATCAATACGACTCACAAATGAAGACGGAGAAAGATGAAAGCCTCAGCTGGGCTCGGTGCACATGTCCCGCTTAGGCTGTTGTGGGTACCTGCATCGGCCGATGGGAGCAGCACGAGCATTGGTTCGAGGCGCCACATTGCTGACCATCTGGAGAGCAGAACAAACGCCACGGCGTCCTTTTTAAGCCAACATCCTGACGTCGTATTTTTGGGGTTGCACTTTGTCGCTTGATCCCAAACCAGGAATGCAGTAAGTCTGGGCCCACAGTAAGCACGACTCATTTCTTAGCATGTCGCGCAAAACTCCTGTTCGACATCTTTCTCGGTGGGTTCTCCGACACTTCCATCTCGACTCTTTCGCCCAGGATCCCAACTTCAAAAAGTGCGTGCGAAAGCCAACATGGAGAACAACGCCGCGGAAATCTTGTTGTCTGAGCGCCGTCAAGAGGCACAAGCACTGAACTCTGCCCCAGACATTGAACAGTATCGCGGATTATACAGAACTCGTCTCGTGCTACGTGTTCTATCCTTCGCGACTTGTGTCGCAATCATAGCCGTGCTAATCGACTCGGTTCGAACATACAGCAAGACGAAGCATGTCACCAACCCCTTTCGGAATGGTAGTGGTCAGTTTCCGGTTTGGCCCGATACTCTGAAACTGTACCCATCGTACATGCTCCTTGGCGCCGGTCTCGTCGCTGGAGTAGTCAGCCTGTTCCTCATCGTCGCGAGCTTCAACAAAAATGTAAGTGTGCTCTAAAGGAAAGGTGACGATGCTAATTGCTTTGCAGGTGAGACGCATGACAAAGACTGGAAACGTCACGACTATGATTGTGTCTGCCGTCTGCCTGGTAGTGTGGGTGGTTGTGACCGCGTACTACGGGTCTTGGGATACGAAAAAGACGAATTGGGATCTGCTGTAAGTATCTCTTCGATACTCTTGAGGCCGAACAGGCTTATAATGTTAGTTCGTGGACTTGCAAACATCAAGACCCTGCCTACGATTACAAGAACATCGACTTTGGGGAGATTTGCATTGAGATGGTAAGCAGCGACATAAAAGACGTTGCCCGTATACACACACACATTTTATTAACGCCCGGCGGCCAAGCCGAAAGGGCTACTAGCACTCATCTACTACTACACTTCTTATGCTACATCTTAACCTCATTTAGCCCCTGCATCTTCTTTACCTCACTTCCTGCTATGTGTTGCTGTTCTTACTAAGCTCATGCTGTGCTTCTTGCTCCTTTGCTCTCCATCTTCCATCTTTTATTAAATTCTCGTGCGTTAGTATTGCTGGCGGCAGACTGGCTCAGAGTAGGCTTCTCCAAGTGTTCAGCATCCTATCTTCGGCAGCTGAAGCGCTGTCCGCTCTATGTTACACGAGGCGGTTAATAAGCTAGGTTAGTAATTAAAGTAGTTTTAGTGTTTAGTCTGCGTTAAGTCTTCCTGTTGCTATTGCGAACCGTATTGTTGCTCGCACTGCGTCCATATCTGGCGCCCATTTTG